AAGTGGCAGCAAAGTGTTAGATAGAAGAAAGCAGAGAAACCAACAAAGTCACAGAAAAGCATTACATTGCCATACAGATTCTCACATTGACATTTTAAAGAGCATAAAAGGCACAATGAAAATGAAAAGAAAACACATAACCATGGACTGGCATTCAATAGATCTTCTGTCAGAAATTCAGTTATTTAAAGAAGGAATTTTACTTTATGGGTATTTACTTTATGGATCAGATAACTGACAAAGGATGACAGACAGTCAAACTTATTCTCATTCTGGGCACTAAAGGACTGACAAGGATAAAACTATTTGGCATTTCTGATGATGAATGCAAAGATCCAGAATTTTACTTCGGATTTGTGAAGATCAATTTAAAGTTTGGGTCTATTTCAAGGAAGAGAGGCTAGAGTTCATGTCATGCTGACACCAGCCCCACTGAAACAATAGATCAATTCATAGACAGGTGTCAATGCTAAGGTGCAGAATGTGACTTCACTGAAGCTAACTTAGCTGAACTGTTTATCATTGTCTCTGCACTCATCAAATATTCTAAAAGGACCTTCTGGACAAACCTAAATAATGTACCATTGACGCTCTGTTAGAAGAAGGATAGGTTGCAGCAGGACACCAGCATCTGCAGGTGGTTGACTCTACAACAATAAATGTAGCTGTGTACAGGTTCAGTCAAATATTCAAATCTTTTAGGTGGATGGTCCGTCTCATCCACCATAACAATGTCCATCATATCATAACATATGCAAGCAATGTTCCACAAGGTAACATGGGACTAAAATGTGTTAGAAGTTTAATCACTCACAGAAAGCCCAAGGGCAACGCCATGTTCCACAGCAGCTTGTGAAATGATAATTAAAAATGATAACCAGTGATTTTTACTTCCAGGTTTGCTGCCTGTGCCAATACATCATTGTGATTTGCTGCCTATCCTGCTTGCTGCCTTTGCTCCTACAGGATGGTGGAGATCCCTTTAACTTGGAGCAAGATTTAATCTACATGCAGCGATTTCTGGATCCTTGTGGGCAGTTTTCTTCGATGTTAGCATTGAATAGCATTGTTTCACCACTGACTGCAAATCTAGCTCTGTAAGTGAGGTGGTGCCTGCTTGTATCTAATGCTATAGCTACTAATCTTGTACCAGTAGCTACAATACAAATGTGCCCTTGATGTCCATAAAGACAAACTAATCCAGACATACCTTTGGAAGTCCTGAAGCGATGCTTGTGTGGCAATTGCCCAGGACATTTAAACTTCTGATATGCAGCTATCTTGCATCTGGTGATGCCCTTCAAAGTCTTCCTAACTCTGAGTAAAATTAGGGACTCATTGGGTCCAACTTACTTATCATGATAGTTACCCAGGCAAAGTGAGAGGGATTGAAACTTACTCTAACACCTAGGTAACTAGAAAACTGATGCCGCAAACATTCACACTTAGTTCCTAGGCAGGCCATCTTGGCATCTGTTCTTTTCAATGAAATTTCATATTGTTTCCAACTTTTAATTTTGTGTAGGCTATTTACACTCATTGCTACAGTTTCCTGTAACCATGAGAATTAGGAAATTAGGTTATGGATTGTTTGATGATGAAACTCCTAGGACTCATGTTCAGACAAGCAGAATCTTTTTTTTTGGGTTGAGTGCCACACAATATTATCTCAACAAACTCAATAGCTTCCTTGTAACAAATTCTGTAAACAAATCCATTTCGCTATTTGAATAGGTCTATTATACATTCAGTGATAGATAGATCAGATAAATTTTATGCATATATATTGTGTTAGCTTTAAAATAAAGCTTCTTGCAAGACTAAGTCATTGTACTTTGTCAAATTATTTAGATTTTGCTAAGTTCAAATCTCAGAAATTATTTTAAACTACTAATGCAAACGATTCAGTTTTCACATGTGGGAGTGACTTTAAAATGAAATTTAACTGAACACTGCCAAACCAATTGAACTCATCCAATTGCTGATCCTGAATTCAATAGACTAAGTCAAACTACTAGAATGGTAGACTTGGCCAAAAGTCCTCATGAAAGCAAATATCCTATCAAGGGTTTGACTAGTCTTGAGAAATAGTTCTATTTGAAAAGCATAAGCATAAGGAAGATGTAATACTGGCACTTTTTAAAAATTTGTTTACAGGATGTAGACATCGCTGGCTAGGCCAGCATTTACTGACCACCACTAATTGGAGTGAACAGTTAGGAGAGAACAGCATTGCTGTGGGTCTGGAGTCACATATAGGCCAAACCAGGGAAGGGCAGCAATTTTCCTCCCAAAAGGTGAACCAGATGGGCTTTCACAATAATTAACAATGGACACTATTATGTTAGCTTTCTTCTTCCAGATTTTTATTGGATTCAAATTTTGACATCTACAGTGATGGGATTCAATCCCATGACCCCGGTACATTAACCTGGGGTTCTGAATTACTGTCCATTGGCATTACCAATACACCAATGTCTCCTCAGTATCACACCCTGCACAACTTTAACATACATCTGTGCCTAGAAATGTCTATATCTGTTTTACAGGCATAACACTGTACACCATATAACCACAATGGCCAGGCATTCGTTCTGTGCATTGAGCTGCTCTGTAGGTATTTCATATGCATACCTGAAACTGACATTGCACCAACTATGCCAGCTTGTTCTAGGGTCACAGTAAACAGTTGACCGTTAAAGGGGCTATTACAGACTGCCACTCAAAAGTAATTTTTTTTACTCACCTTATTGTACAACCAGAAGGAGCAGAATGCTGATCCCAGTTGAATCCCACAGAGGTCAATGAATGGTGGAATAAACCTGGAGCAGCAAACAGTCCCACAACTCACCAGTTCTACCCTAATTAGGCTGGCAGTAAGCCTTATAATGGTCCTGCAGGCAGCCTCATTAGGTGATTGCAGTATGTGCTTCACCAGAACCAGGACCCAACATCAACTTACAGGCACAGAAAGCCTCCGACTCTTATTAAAATGGGAGTGTAGGTGTTGGTAGTGCCCTTGGCATTTTGTCAAGAATCACACAACACCAGGTTATAGTGCAACAGGTTTATTTGAAGACACAAGCTTTCGCAGCCTTCC